CGCACTCTAGTTTTGTGCTTTTCAGTTTTTTTCCATCATTAAATGAAAGATTTGTCAGTATAAAGAATTGTAAAAAAAAAACATTCTGGTGTCTTTAGTCACTCATTATTAAAGCTTAAGTAAGGGACAGTCCAAATATTTTATTGCATTGTTTATTACAGAATAAAATATTACTCAAAATTTATATAGAACAAGTGATACATGCAAACAGTAGCATAGATGTCAAAGTATGTTATTGTTGTAATGGACATAATTATATATCTTTTAAACATTGATAATATTTTTAAAATATAGCAGTTTGGATATGTCTCTACACTCTGAAATTTATAGCAGTTAAAATTATTTATTGATTAAATTATTAACATTAGGTTTCTTATTTTTCCTTAGTTGAAACATCAACACATTTGACAAACATACAAATGATAGAATGTGTTGCATGATTTAGTAATGATTGTGTGTGTGATTTATTTTAGGCAGTTACTTATGGGTTTTGCTGCTGACAGTATGGCTCAATGAAATTAATGATCAGTTGAAGAAATACAGTCTAAAAGTGTGCCAACAGCTAATGGCTCATCACCCTATTTCTGTAATATGCTTTGATAAGTTATGAAGGATACTTTTGTTCATTAAAATGTGTCTATATGTTTATCACCTTCCAGTGTTGTAAAAGCAGAATGTACCTGGTTCGATATTTGGCCAGGTTGGCAACATGGTAAGGATTGCTTTTGCTTTAGAAGATGTCTTGATGTAAAGGTTGGGGAAAACATAGTTGACATATTTGTTTATGCTGAAGATTAAAGTTGGAGGCTGGGAAAATACATTTGTTAGTGTAGAACTACATGCGTGTTTATAAAGCAAAAAATAAAGACAGCTTAAGCCATTTTGGGGTGGCCACTTGTGAGAAACTCAATTGATGATCAGATACTACTTCCTTTCATTGCACTGATAACTCTTCACATCTTGGGACCTAAACCAAGGCTGTGTAGGGGTTGAGGCCTATAGGGAACTGAGGGGTCAACAACAGTGTAAAAAATGTTACCCTGATAACCATAAAGTATATAGTCATCTGTTCCAGTTTATCATTGCCACTCTAGTTTAGGATAAGGTAAATACCTTGTGTGGGGGAATATGACAGAAAGTGTCCTTTGTGTATATACACATACTTTCCAAATATCCAAATTTTAGAATTACACATTG